TTCGGTTGGCGACCAATTCGGTTGGCGACCAGAATCGTGGAACGAATTAAGTTCGTGAACCCAGGTACCACTGACTAAAGAGTAGAATAAAAGGCTTTAATGAATGGGTTGGCAGCTTCAGATGTTCTACTCACTAGGCTGGGGCAGGAGCTGGGTTCCTTTGGTCCATGGTGAAAGTGCTTGTGTTTCCGCTCTCATCACTGATCAAAACTTCTGCGAAAGGAGTACAGCAGTTTGAACTACAGAGGAGAGAAAAGGATGAGGAGGATCAATAACGGGATGGAGTGGAGGAAGAGGAGGAGTTTGGCTGGGGACAAGCTGAACGGGGGGAAAAACCAAGGAGGTCAGAATGGGGGAATTCTGCAAGCCGATTTAGAGGGTGTGGCCAATTCACCAAGGGGACTCCACTGTGAAGATGTTCCATCAACGCACGTGACTTATTTTCTCATGCTGCGTGGTTTGGTTGCACATTTTCTTTGAGATAAAAACATATATTATTTTACCTTGATCAATGAAGAAAGAAAAAGAAGAAGAACTGAATGTTGTGCAGCTCCTTTTAGGTTGTGGGCTGAACCTGGGTTTGAATAGAACGCCTTGAAAGTGACTGACAGATGAGATCTCAATCCATTCTGTTCACATTTAATTGAAATATAATCAATACCATTTTTTTGGTACTAATGTATTTAATATGTTTTTTCTTTACATTAAGAATCATGGTTTGGTAAAAACTGCAGATGGGGGAATTTAGAATATGTTAATTTTTCTTAAAGTAAGGGATTGGTTTAATAAGATGGGGACGTGTAATTTCAATAATCAGTCATTCGACATAGAGGGAAAGAAAATTATTCTCCTGAAGTTACGGAATGAATTCACTATTTGTGTTTGTTATTGTTTTTTGGAAATATTTTTATATTCTACAAGTGAGAAGATGGAGCAATTTTTTCCCCTAAATTTAATAAGTTTAAGGACTGAATTAATCTTATATTATATGGTTCTTTCTCTTTCTCTTTTTCTTTTTCTTAATTTATTTTTTTCCTCTCATTATGTTCAGTTTACTTTAATCCCTGTAATGTATGTAGGATTTTTATTATACAATCACTGATATTATTTTTTGTTTGCTATTCTTAATAAAAATAAAAAAATGAAATAATTGTACTGTTTTGATTTTTGCATTGCACAGAAAGTTAAAAAATAATTTTGTCATACATTTAAAAAAATTAAAAATTCTTCCTGGAATTTCAGAAGAGGAAAAAATAAAATTAAAACATACTTAATATATGCCGTGTCCTAAATATTAGTTAATGTTAAACCTAAAATTAGCTAATATTAATAACTGCACACTTCTGCTTTGGCAACAATCATAAATGGTTTTTGCTACTTCTTCACCTAATAAAGATCTGACTAAAATCTCTGTTTTTGTCATTTTGGTTTCAAACTAATAAAAGCATTACTCCAAAAATTAATTTTGGATTTTTTTCCCCTGGGGAAAAAGGATATTCCATAGCTGGGGAGAAAATTGGTAGAGACAACCATCTCTTTGCATCTCCGTTTTCTACTTTTGCTGGAAACTTTGTAAACCCAAGAGGGCGCTCTTTGTCTGTCTCAGGACGGTTAGAGGCCTGTGGATTTTCACAAATACCTGATATTTCACTTTTCAGGAACAAGCACCCAGCCAGCATGCAAATTGTCATAAATGACGGATTATAGGCAAACGGATTGTCCTTTATACACAGGATAAGAAGTTCAACCAATAATCAAGACCGTTGCTAGAGGCCGAGACAAGTGCTGGCGTGAGCTGAAAAGAAGATATTTGGTAGGACAGCCTCTGCAAGGAGGGCAAGGGACAAAATGAGCTTTGAGGAGTCATATTGTAAAGTCCACCCCTTATTTACTTCTGTGTGCCATGGTGACACAAGTATGAAAGGCGCTGTTGTGTCATAATGTCATGATGCACATACAGGTAGTCCTCCTTTCGCGACTGCCTCGGATAGCAACAGTTTGCAAATATGACAGTAATAAACGGCAATTAAAAAATCATTTTCTGACCAATGCCTGCATTGCGTGAAACTGATTAAGGTCTGGTCAGTTTCAGGCAGCAGTGGGAGCCAGCCAGAGGGTTCTAATAAACTAAGTTTACAAAGTAGAGCTTGTTAACTTGTGGTTAGCACAGTTTAGGGACCCCCTGTGCTGCAGAGAAAAGCAGCTCAAGAAGAGATGGCTTAAGCAATCTCTCCACGCTGGAAGGAGGGGAAAAGGGGGGGGGGAAGTGGGTCAGGCACAGGACACTTTATGAGAGAACTTTATCTGAATGAGACTGCAGCAACCAGTGATCTTTGTGGTGTCTTTCTCTCTCTCAGTCACATGGTTCGCATAGCGACCATTTCACCGGAACCAATTGCAGCCACTAAACGAGGACTACCTGAGTTTTGCAGAGCTCTGAAAGAGTGTTAAACTCACCCTCTCCTGAGAACACAATGAAGCAAGAGAAAGTGGACCTAAGCTGGTGCCCCCTCAAGCCTCCTGAATAGAGAGGTGGCCCCATAGCTCTGTTCCTCTCTTTTGGCAGGGGGGAAAAGAAGGAGTGGTGATGGAGAAGAAGAGGACCAGAAGGGAGGACTGAAGTGGCCAAAAGCTCTGGCCACAACAGAACGGCTGGCAAAGCAAGTTAGATTTTATACCCCTGGAGATGCTGCAATTTTCAGTGGTACAACTAAGGGCTATTTGTGTGCAGAAGCTGGGACAGCTGGGACGAGACTGGGTAATTGTAAATGCAGATAGGAAAAGGCTTTATGACAGATTTTTTTCCGAACGGTGGATGTATACATACCTATACTGACATCTGACTTTCTTCTTATCACCTTCTCTTGGAGTGCAAGAGAGACCAGAAGGATTTGTATTGATTCGGACAGTGACTGCGCTTTGATCATCCGTTGCCAAGAATAACATGTGCCATGTATGACGAGCGCAGTCTGGTTCATGCTGGATGTTCCCCTTACAAGACATGTAAAATTCTCTGAGTTTGTACTCAGGTGGGTTCTCATCTATCTCCTGTTGGGTAGCAGAAGTTTTGGTTAGTAATAAAAACAATTAGCCGTGAATAGACATCAACATCAGTACCTGGATTTAAAATGCAAATGCAAGGACGTATAGATCACCCTTTTCCCAATCTGACAGCCCCTGGACTGAAACTCCCAGAATTCTCAGCCAGCTTCCTTGGAATCCTAGAAACTGGAGAGGTTGGAAATGTCACTTCCACAACACTGACTCTTCAGCATCTCACATCTTGCTGGCCAGAACGGACAGTGAGTGCAGACACCGAGTGCAGAGTTAAAGATTTTAACTGTACCAATAGAGGTGAATCTGTGTAGCCCAGGGTTCAACCGGCTGGGCAATGAAACGTTTGCAAGAAAAGAACCAAGCTCAGAGAACCCCAAGGACTCCACGATTTATACTGTGTTCCCTCTTGGTCTATCACTCTGTATTTTGCTCATTTCCCCATTACAGCATGTTTTGTAGAATCACCTAGCCATCATACCAAAGGAACAGTAATGACAACAGGCTGGGTGATGCTCTGAAGATGCTGTAACCCATAATTGGGAAATGACTCATCTTAGGGGTGCTTCCTTCAGCCTTTGGTCCCAGACCAATTGCTTTTTGACTCTCCTCTTGGAAGGATATACATAGTTTGTTAATTGCTAGGCTTTGCCTATCTGAATTTAAGTAAAACTCCAGTTATAATGAGAAAACATATTCCCTAATCATTGCTGATAAGTGTGTGCAAACACTTCCCCTTCGCAGCAGTCCCAACCAAACACATCCTTGAAGGGTATCCAGAAGTCAAGATGGCAGGGATGACCATGCAACTGAAGACCCACCCCTTTTTTAGGTGTCAGTGATCCATGTTTAAAAGGGGCGGGGCTTCAGTCTCAGGGTTGTGCCCACCACATTGACTCTTCCCCCAAGGATACCTGTGCTAGCCATGTATCTGGAGGATGTCAGTTTTGGAAAGCTTGACACATATTTACTTAGATATTAGTAAATTCAGCTTCCTAATCAATTCATCCTGCATTCTGCAAATACAGAAGTCTCCTTGGAACGGTTAATTCAGGGAGTTGAATACGCATGGAATGGAAGTCCTGGCCCTAAAGATGTACTTCTTGTTAACTGATTGGAATTGTTACATTTAATTACCTCCATTTTTACTAAATTAAGACTTGTTGGAGACAGTGTGTAGGTGGTTTTAGCTAAGAATTTGATTGTATAGTCTTGTTTTTATTCTTCATATTTTAGTGTATTCAAATGTTGTCTGCTGTTTGGGGAACTTTAAGGAATTAAAGGACATTACAAATATCTTGTCAGGGATTAGTTTGAGCCTTCAGATTCAAAAGCTGAAGAGCTTGACCAGACTGAGTCTTGACCTGAAAACAGCATGCCTGAGATGAAACAGATGCAGGCGGCGTCAGCTGAGTAGGCGATACCCAGAGCTCTGCAATATGTCACAGATGAAAAAAAGAAGACCAAAGGAAGTCAATCTGTCTACTTCAGGATTTCTCAACCTTATCAACTTTGAGATGTGTGGACTTCAACTCCCAGAATTCCCCAGCCAGCATGGCTGGCTGGGGAATTCTGGGAGTTGAAGTCCATTCATCTTAAAATTGTTGAGGTTGCGAAACCCTCGTCTACTTGAAAGAAAGAAGCAGGATTTGGCAATTTAGTTAAGCTAATATAAAAGAGATGGCTTTGGGTTTTTGGGTTTTTGTGGGGATTGGGTTTTTGTGGCAAGTAATGTTTCAATATCCTACCTGTGACTTTCTATATGCTGTTGCATTCCCTGGAACCCTGCACTAGATATGGACTATCCTTAGAACTTCCTCAACTCGAGTTTTGTCTCTCTGGACTTGTTTGAAAAAAGGAAGCTTTTGTGCCTGTTTTCTAGACAGAATGCTTTGAGTTTGCAGTGCGTTGAGTCTGTGTTACTTTGGTAGAAGATTGACAACTGCTGGTTGTTTGTGAGTAATGAGCAACACAAAACATATACACAGGTAGTCCTCACTTAACGAGTGTTTGTTTAGCGACCATTCAAAGTTACAGTGGAGCTAAAAAAAGGGACTTACAACCAGTGCCCAAAGTTATGACCATCACAGCATCCCTGCAGTCATGTGATCATGATCCAGGTGTTTGACAGCCAGCTCGCACTTATGACAGTTGCAGGGTCCCGGGGTCACCCGATCACCATTTTTGACCTTTCCAGCTGGCTTCCGGCAAGCAAAATCAATGGGGAACTGCATGATTCACTTAATGGCCATGTGATTTGCTGTGATTCGCTTAACAACCACCGCAAAAATGTTTGTAAAATAAGGTCTGGTCATGTGATGATTCGCTTAATGACCTCATTACTTAGCAACCTAAATCCCAGTCCCAGTTGTGGTCATTAAGTGAAGACTACTGTAAATAAAAGTGCAGGAAGGTCTCCATGCTGGTGGGCCAGTTTCTGCTACTGTCCAAGGTTGCTAAGTGCAAACATCAAATCTAGCAGAAGAAATTCTCTTTGTTTATCTGTGGCTGCAGAAATCAGGTTGTGAGTCCTTGGTAATAGGGGGTCTTAAGTAGGAGAAGAACAGAATTCTTCATGGAAGATTATCTAAGGAGTGATCACTGTGAATTTCAGACTCACCAAAGCTGTTTCAGGAACGATGCTGATGGGAAATTTCAGGTAGTTCTGAGCGGAAGCGCTTTTAGCAGCGAATGTCACAACGCTGAAAAACCATTTGTGGATCATGAAGAATAAACAGTATGTTCTCTCCCTTCTTCAACCCTGCCCCACTCTGCTGCATTACCATGTTTCAAAAAAGCTTTTCAAAAGTATTATATTTAGCCATTCTATTAATGTTTGGGTTTGGGCCTTGGCTCCTGGTGATTGCCTGAACAAGTCCCTGGAGTTTTCTTGGCAACATTTTTCAGAAGTGGTTTGCCCTGGCCTTCTTCTTCTTCCTGGGGCTGAGAGAGAGGGACTGGCCCAAGGTCACCCAGCTGGCTTTGTGCCTAAGGCAGAACTAGAACTCAGGTTTCCCGTAATCCAGTGTTTCTCAACCTTGGCCGCTTGAAGATGTGTGGACTTCAACTCCCAGAATTCCCCAGTCAGCCATGGGGAATTCTGGGAGTTGAGAGAGGGACTGGCCCAAGGTCACCCAGCTGGCTTTGTGCCTAAGGCAGAACTAGAACTCAGGTTTCCCGTAATCCAGTGTTTCTCAACCTTGGCCGCTTGAAGATGTGTGGACTTCAACTCCCAGAATTCCCCATGGCTGACTGGGGAATTCTGGGAGTTGAAATCCACATACCTTCAAGCAGCCAAGGTTGAGAAACACTGCCCTAGTCCAATGCCTAGCTCTAGCTCTCATTAAATTATATGCTATTTCTTATCTAGCTAAACAATACATCTCCCTCTTTCCCCAGAAAGCATTTCTGCTAGGCATTTTTCATTTGCTAACGGGATCACAAATCTCCGGGTAACCCACACATTCTAGCTCTGCTATTCTCTCCTTTACAAACTCCCATCTTTATGAACTCTCGATTTCTACCGTGACAGTGTTATCCTACCTGGAAGCAAAGCTGTCGTTCAGAAGGGATGCGACAAAGATTGCCTTCAAGATAATGTTTTCTCCTGTGTTCAGGAAACTTTCTGTGGGTGCATAGCTCCTTAGCAAATCCAGATCGTCCCAAACTTTAAATATGAATGTTGTAGGTGCTCCATCATTTATCACCAGGGCAGACAGTTCCAAGCTCTCACCAGGTGCCATTGTATCTGGGAAAAATTGGCAGCGTGCTCACAATATAGGTAACTATTGACACATGGTCACAGTGCCTTGCAATATCAATTTTCTGTGAGATACCATAGGAAAAACCCTAAGATTTTCTTCAATTTCAGTTATTGGGCCCCACCATCATGTCATTTTGTCATACACACAGCTTTTCTGATAAAAAGGGGTTCATTTGGTAAACTACCATCCTGTTAAAAATACCCTGATCAGCAAGGTTATTAAACAGAATGACTTGTATGAAAAGTACTTTGTGGACAGGGAAGTGCCTCTCGGCCAAGTGTTGCACAGAAAGTTGCATCTGTTACTTTCTGTGCAAGCAGCATTTAATTGGTCTAACTACAGAGGTGTGGTAAAGTGACATTCTTTCTTTTCATTTCAGAGATGGGAGGAAAACGTATCTCTAGAGCAGGGTTTCTCAACCATGACAGCTTTCAGATGGGTGGACTTCAACTTCCAGAATTCTCCAGCCAGCAAGGCTGGCTGAGGAATTCTGGAAGTTGAAGTCCACCCATCTGAAAGTAGCCAAGGTTGAGAAACCCTGCTGTAGACATATGAGGAAGAGCCCAAAAATCTATGCTGGTGTTAGCCCTTTGGAGTAGTCTAGGCAAGAAGCACAACCATGAGTACTAACTCTATCTTTATTCTAAGGTTACATGAATGGAATCTTGTAAGTCTGAAAGTACCCCTCCCATCCCTTACTTTTATTCTCCCCAAAACTAGGGAGGGTCCCTTTGAAGATGCTTTCTCCCCCCTTCCTCTTTTGGACTAAAATTGTGTTTATCAGACTGTTGTCTAGGCTGCGGCTCTTCCTCCTGTCTCCCAAGGTCATTCCCACAGACCGTTATAGTTGGTGACAGAGGGGAATTACCCCAATATGGGCAGAGGATCCTGAGATCTGTGGAGTCTTTGGGGTTCTCTGAGCTTGGTGGTTTTCTTGCAAACATTCCATTACCCGGCTAGGTAACATCTTCAGTGCTCTGGCCAGGTAATGAAATGTTTGCAAGAAAACCACCAAGCTCAGAGAACCCAAGGACTCTACAGTTCAACCCTGAGCTACACATATTCTCTTCTATTGGATCCTGAGATCACCTAGGCAAAACCCACCTGCTAGTGTTAATCCACCTGGTGATCACATTCCCTTCCTCAAGCTTCAGAAGGGTTCCTATCCATGTACCAATGCGTGTACATACAAGTCAAACATGCAAAGAATTCCTTCAGTACATGTACATATAGAGCTCTTTCTGAGGTGTGCTAAATTGGACTGGTAGAACACAATGGCAGTTGGCAGTGGAGCCACCTCAGATGGTCCTGCAACATCTCTCATGAGTGTAGAGAGGCATTGTCTGCCTTTCCTTTCTATTGCTAGAAGAAACCTTGGACCAAGCCTTAACTGGGCATTAAAATATTTGGTAGCCCAGCCAAAAACCATACAGGTAGCAGGAAATCTTGGATGATGGATATCTGAGGTAGAAGTTGGATGTGCCAAACAGTCAGCAAGCACGTTTTCCTGGAATTCTTGATTTAAAGCTAGAAAGCAGAAGCAGTTCTTATGATTAACAGCTCTTATATGAGGAGATAGGAACTGTGAAGGAGCAGAGTAACAGTTCTGGTGACTTTTTAGGGATCAGAAGGGGAAAAGGAGTGCAAAAGGAGTCAAAGAAACTCTGTGGGTAGGGTGCGTGTACAGGTATGTGTGTGTCTATCTATCTAGCCATCCATTCATCCATTTGGGAAAATGTGCTGCAAAATTAAAAAAAAAATGTGTACCTTCTTTAAATAACAGAAATTGCTTGGAAAGTCATGTGGCAAAATGCATTAAAAATGGCAGCTTTGAGAGGAAATACACATGTAAATTCATAAGAAGGCCTTTTTTTGACATGGGGAGACCTGGATTAAATACAGAGAAAAGCTAGAAACTGAACCGAAAGCAAAACTGCCAATCCCATGTTGTTGCTGATATATTCCATCGTGCTAGGGACTTACTATTTTGGTCTGGCAGAGACAGAATCTGCACAGACTCTGTGTTGATGGGGTCACCACTGATTCGTGAGAAGGGGAAGTTGCCTGGAGAAAGGCCCTCCACTGCCAGTAAGGTTCTCTGGAAGGAAAAGGTGGAGAAATGACTATTAAAAATCTTCCGCATTGTTCCTGCACATATTTATGAAGCAAATAGGGAAGCATATTATAAGACTTACAAACAAACCGATCCTCCTCTTGGGAATTCAGTAGTGGTAGGACACCTGCTTTCAAATTCAAGCTCAGCTTCTTGATACCTAGTTCCTCCTGCTGGAGTGTCCGCAGGGAGGGGAGTTTGTCAAAAAAGGTCAGGATGATGGCCACAACCATGTGTTCGAAGCCTTGCTGCTTTTTTACATGCAAGGCGTGTAAATGAAGGGGTGTGGCTTTGATTGTGTGGTTGTGGCCACCATCTTGACCTTTTTGCCTCCCCCATGACATGTCATGAGCTTGGAATTTCGAACAGCTCAGCTTGGAGCATCCTTTACTGCTTCTAAAATGGAGCATTTCTGATTGGCTACCAATAACCATTTGGGTATATTAAGGTGTATCTCTCCCATCATTTCTGAATAGTAGCAAGGAGGTAATGAAATGCAGTTGTTGGACTGGGATCAGGCATCCTTTACTGCTTCTAAAATGGAGCATTTCTGATTGGCTACCAATAACCATTTGGGTATATTAAGCTGTATCTCTCCCATCATTTCTGAATAGTAGCAAGGAGGTAATGAAATGCAGTTGTTGGACTGGGATCAGGCATCCTTTACTGCTTCTAAAATGGAGCATTTCTGATTGGCTACCAATAACCATTTGGGTATATTAAGCTGTATCTCTCCCATCATTTCTGAATAGTAGCAAGGAGGTAATGAAATGCAGTTGTTGGACTGGGATCAGGCATCCTCAGGCTCAAGTCCCCGCTCAGTCAAGTTGATTGCTAAGGAACTTTGAACCCGTCCCTACCGTCTCAGTCTTACTTCACAGAGTTCTTGATAGGATAAAATAAATAAAAAATGAGCAACGCTTTAGCAAATAGTTACCAGAAAAGGATACGTACTGGGGCATGCAAGAAAACAGATGCAACAGCCAAGAGGTTGCCAAAAGCATCGAAGGTTTGGTTCAAGGCTATCGATTCTGGAGGATCAGAAAGCACCAGGCGCAGGAGTTGCATACCTGCAGTATTCCCCATCAGCTTAATGGAGACAGTGTAATTTGACCCTGAAGGAGATATAGAAGAGTCAGACAAGAAACAACTTCCTTCCTTCCTTCCTTCCTTCCTTCCTTCCTTCCTTCCTTCCTTCCTTCCTTCCTTCCCGCTTGCCTGCCTGCCTCCCTTCTTCTGAGGTTCCTCCAGACCTACTGTCAAGTCTACAATGTCCAAGTCCCAATCCAGGTCCTAAGATTTCCTTCTCATTTATAGTTCCCTTCTAAGCTTCTGGAGAAGAGAAGGTTTTCTGGACATTATGTTTAGTCGGGGGCCATTCGTTTGTCTCAGGTGAGGTTTTATGGATAACACAGTACAACTTTATGATGAATAAGAATATGCAAACAGGCTTAGACATATTTGGAGCCTGGATAGAGCTGGGGGGAAATCTAACCCTAAGGTAGTAATATAGAGTTCCACTCTCAGAATGGTGTGTCACACCCCAGGACAAGGTACCTTTCACTGGTCGTCCTTGGATTGGAAGCACATAATCATCCTGCTTCTGCATAATCTGGTAAGAAAAGTCAAGCAAACTTTTGCCCTCAACCTTTATTTCATAAGTGTTTATTGGAGACATTGTCACGGTCCATGAACCTCGCTCCGGGATAGGAGATATCTTCACAATCTTGTGGTTGACTGTGTTGATCAACATGTCCAGGGATCCCAAAGGAGAACCTGCCATGACATGACACACAGGTAGACACAAGACCAAGTGTAAAGAAGGTGGGAATTTAAGGAAGGATCCCCCTCCCATTATCCATTTACAGCCAAGCCTGTTGTTTTGTTCTGTATGCCCATTTCCCTGCTAGTGGAATAATTTATAAGGTCTTCAAACCATACCCCAGGTTCCACTGAAGTGATATCAAGTCTATCCTCATTTCCTGTTATTTTGGCACAGCCACGGCTGGATGCCTCTAGAAGATACTATCGATGGCTAGTGAGGAAACACCCTGTATCACACCGCTCCTTACCTGAAGGTGGGAGCACATTTATGGTGAATGCAGATGATGCTTTCACAGAGATGGTGAAGTCTATAAGTGTGTCATCTACAGGGAAGGAGAACTGCGAAGCAGTCACTTTAGTATCGACCACTTTAACAGGAGCAGCATTCAGGGACATCTCCATTAGGCCCAGGATCTGTGAAAGCTGACTTTTTGTGGTGTGCACATAGAAGCCACCAGAATAAACTGCCACTTCTTCATAGATGTTTGCATAACTTCTAGTCCCTTCCTCAGCAGTACCTGTGCAGAAGAATGACAGAAATTTCCTTTGAAAGCAGCCTCAGAAGTACAGGGTTTTCTTCGGTTCTGGTTGTTGAAGCAAGGAGTGAGTTTGCATGACTTGGCCACCAACATTGAACAGTGACGTGAGCGTGCCTTGGCAGTATCCTTTTTCAACAGTATTGCATCTCCATGCCTTCATGTTGTCCCCAGCCCATGAGGGAGATGGACTTAACTCATCCTTAATTGTACTGGTGTTGGAGCAGTATTTTCCCCTTATTCCATCTCCACCGAAGGCAACTTCAGGGTGTATAAAATCTGTTAAGATCTTATCCATTATCTTGGAAGAAAGTCAGGTGACTTGAAAAAGAAGCAATAGAAGTAGGTTTGAAATGGCAAATGGGGATGGACACATTTTTGGCTGCCTGTAGGAGGGAGAGAAACCACTTCAACTCAACAGTGGGGGAAGAAGGTCTAGAGTCCCACAATCTCACCCACCCCACCCACGCCTGCTGTAATGCTCTGATTGCTGAATGTTTTCCTCCCTGAAAATGCATTTGCAAGGGGGTGGGGATGAAAAAAGTCAAGATGGTGACCATAATGGTGCAAATTGAGGCCCATCCCTTTTTTATGTGTGATGTGTGGCTTCGATCACATGGGTGCAGACCCCATCATGATTTTTTTCGACCTTCGTCTGGGGAGTCCCTTGCCCCCTAAGTTGGGGATATGTTGAAGGACAGCGGTATTCACATTGCCTCTATTCTGCCCTCCTTTAAATGGGCCCTTAAAATGTGGCTCTTCCCTGCAGGCCTTGAGCTAAGGTGGGGGGTGGGCCTCTTGTGGGAATGCCACTATGTCAGCGAAAGCGTTTGCTTTACTCTTTTCTAGATGTTCATCTTTTTCCCCCCCTTAATTGTGTGTTTTTTCACTCTGCCACCCAGAATGGTCAGAGTCGGGTGGCTTTGCACGTTTGATAACTCCATAAATCTATGCCTGCCAGCTAGGCCAGGATGGAAACTTGTAAACTTTCAGTAGAAAGCTCTCTTCGTGTGAACAAGGCAGGGTGGGAAACAGCATTTGTATTCCTTGAATCTCTATTACCGGTTGTTTTATATCTCAGCCTTCTGACTGATTTTCTGGGCTTTGAACTGTTCTTTTGCCTTGAGCTTGATTTTCCTCAGGGCTACCTCTCTGATGGCTTCTCCTAACTCCATTGCCCTGGCTAGAGGCTCTGGGACCACATTTTTCCTTCTTTTCTGCTGAGCTTCCTTCCTGGGATGGCCTAAGAGACCGGGCTGGAGAGGGGATACGGGGGTGGGTGTGGGTGGGTGAGGGACGATGATGATGGCATGGTGTTCCTGTTTAATTAGCTGCTTTGGGTGGTTTTTAGGGGGAGAGTGGAATAAAAATGTTTCAATGAAATTGATTAACTAGCTGGCTTTTCTTTTCTTTTTTTTTAGGGAAACCTTCTCAACATTTTCACTGTAAATGTTTACTAACCCATGGAGAAAGGCAGGCACCTTTTTAGGAAACCCTGTTGTTTTGCTCTCCTGCAGGCAGAGAAAGCAGCTTTTTAAAGCTGGCACCTGGCCCAGGCTGTCGAAATGCCATCGGTGCCAAAACACCCACCCTCCCAGCCTCTGCCCACTTTCTTCAGAAGTTTTGTTTCCTTTAGCTACAAACTGCTGCAGATTTCATCATCCATCAACGGTTATATTATCAAGCAGCTATATTTACTCTCAGTTAAATCCAAAGGTAAATACGAAACTGGCTGCCTGCTTGGAAAATGCTCGTGAACATAAGCCAGCCCGGTGTCATGTTTAAATCAAACCCAGAAAACTTGGCTGCCCTGCCTGATTTTCAAGTTGAGGCAGTGCAGAAACTCGGTTCCTTTCTATGTTATCTCAGGAATGTGGAAAGCTCTGCCACATGGCTCCCTCAGACGATGCAACTGCTTGGAGGGAAAACACGGACAGGGCTTCATGTAGTCTGCGCTTCAGGCACCGCAAAGGCAACTGGAGGTAGGCACCAGCGGGGCTGGCTCAAGATATCTTGCTGCCTGAAGCAAAAATCAAGAGGAGCCTCCTTCCCAGATTTCACTTGCAGAAGCTGATTGCACTTGCACACTGCTTCTAAACTAGTGATGCTAGGGCTTCGCCTCTGAGGTCAGGAGGTCGGATTACAGCATCTCGAGCAGGCCTTGTGGGAGACACAGCTCTTCCGTTCCCTCTTTGCCACCATTCCTTGTCTCAGGCGGCAGCCTCTTTGGGCGTAGAGCAGGGCAGCCCTTGGTCTGGAACCACTTATTTGCCGGTGTAGGGGATGGGAAGTCTCTGCATGGAAGTCAAGGGGTCTTGGAAGGAAAGATGGACCTTTCCATTTTCTCTCTGCCAGTCTGCTTGACCATATCTGAATGGTACAGGGAGGGAAATCGTTTCTGTAATGTTATTCCTCCTCCACCAGCCTGTGTGTTGTAGAAAGAGATCGGAAGAGAGT